AGGAGTAACAGGCTAAACAGCAGTTTTTGGGGGAAAAAAAAATGAAAAAAAAAAAAGGAGGAAGAGGTGTTTGGGTTAAACCACAAACTGAATGTGAGTCAATGACAAAATGCCATTGTCTCACAGGCACCAGGAATTCTGTAGCACATTAACAGGAGCAGTACACATGAGAGGGATGATTAGTTGCCACACTCCTGGGTACTACTAAGCACCGTTTTCCCTTTGGGCTGCTTCTCCTTTCCAATGCTGTTGCCAAATCAAAGAGTGTGCAGAAAAGGGCAATGAAGATATAAAGTTCAGAAAACCTGACCAGCAGAGAAAGGTTTGCAGAGCAGCATTTGGCTTACAGAAGAGACGTGAGACATTCAGGGGAGCAGAAGGAGGGAGGCAAGCACAAAGCCTTGCAGTGTAAAGAGGCTGTTGTGCCACAAATCTTGCAGTGGTGGTGGCTCGCCAGCACTGCTGTGCCATCACGAGCACCGACTGCCGTGAAAAAGTTTTTTTAAATAACTTTCCAGCTAGGCAACTAAGAAAAGCAAAACAACCCTGCAGTGCTGCAGAGCCTCCACAGACCCTGTGGAGCTCACTCGGAGATGCTCTGGGGCTCCGCTGTCCTGTCCACATGAGGGGTGACAGCTTTCCTACCCACACCACAAACCCTTCAAGGACAGCGTTCACTCAGTGCTTACCATGGTATCAACAGTGATATGTCTACTGTAATCTTTAGCTGAGATTATCATCTTGTGTGATCGATACCTGAAATTCTACCTGTTTCAGGCATTTTTACGTCACACCCATTTTTAAAAAGGGTAGAAAGGCGACATTAGGAACTACCAACCTGTCAGCCTCCCCTCTGTACCTGGGAATATCATGGAAGCAGATCCTCCTGGAAGATATGCTAAGGCACATGGAGGACAGGGAGGGGATTCAAGACAGTCAGCATGTCTTCACCATGGGCAAGTCCTGCCTGATCAACCTAGTGGCTTTCTACAATGGAGTGATCACTGCATCAGCAGACAAGGGAAGAGCTACGGTTGTCATCTATCTGGACTTCTGCAAGGCCTTTGGCACGGTCCCCCACAACATCCTTCTCTCTAAGTTGGAGAGATATGGGTTTGATGGGTGGACTGTTCAGTGAGTGAGGAATTGGCTGGATGGTCAGATTGAGAGAGTAGTGGTCAATGGCTTGATGTCCAGATGGAAAAAGATGACAAGGGGCGTCTCTCAAGGATCTGTACTGGGATCAGTGCTGTTTAATATCTTCATTAATTATATTGACAGTGGCATTGAGTGCACCCTCAGCAAGTTTGAGTGATGAAGCCGGCACGCTGGAGGGAATGGATGCCATCCAGAGGGACCTGGACAGGTTGGAGAGGTGGGCCCAAGTGAACCTCATGAAGTTCAACAAGGCCAAATGCACAGTCCTGCACCTGGGCCAGAGCAACTGCCAGTATCAATACAGGCTGGGAGAAGAGCAGCCCTGTGGAAAAAGACTTGGGGGTAATGGTGGATGAAAAGCTGGATGAAAAGCTGGACATGAGCCATCAGTGTAAAACTGCAGCCCAGAAAGCCAGACACATCCTGGGCTGCATCAAAAGAAGTGTGGTCAGCAGGTCGAGGGAGGTGATTCTGCCCCTCTACTCTGCCCTGGTGAAACCTCACCTGGTGTACTGTGTCCAGCTCTGGAGCCCCAGCACAAGAAAGACGTGGACCTTTGGAGCGTGTCCAGAGGAGGGCCACAAAGGTGATCAGAGGGCTGGAGCAACTCTCCTATGAAAACAGGCTGAGAGAGCTGGGGTTGTTCATCCTGGAGAAAAGAAGGCTCTGGGGGGATCTTGTAGTGACCTTCCTATACCTGAAAGGGGCCTATAAGAAGGCAGGGAAAGAACTGTTCACAAGGGTTTGTAGCGATTGGATGAAGCCTAACGGTTTTAAGCTAGAAAAGGGTAGATTTAGGTTGGATATCAGGAAAAAGTTCTTTAATATGAGGGTGGTGGATCACTGGAACATGTTGCCCAGAAAGGCAGTGGAAGCCCCTTCCCTGGAGACATTCAAGATCAGGCTTGATGGGGCTCTGAGCAACCTGACCTAGTTAGAGATGTCCCTGCTTACTCTAGGGGGGTTGGACTAGATGGCCTTTAGAGGTACCTTCCAACCCCAATACATTCTATGATTCTACGTCTTCACGAACATCACAAAAACACTGCCTTCTTCATAGAAGAAAACTGACAGCAGTTAGCCTAACAGCAAATACCAGTTCAGTAACGGATCCTCTTGATGTAATGACAAAAATTCAGTTGGCTCCATTCATACTGATACATAATTCTATAGGATGATGGAAATGTATATTTCTATTGGTATCATTTTATGTTTAATACATTAAGTAGTTTCACTTATTTGAATACACTTGAACATATTTGAACTTATTGTTCGAATTTATATGAAATTACTTTTGTTTAGCTGTTTTCAACTCATTAAAATCATGCTTTGGACTGAAAAACTGATTTTTATTTATAATGGGTTTAACTAGTTCAGCATTTTTGAGTTATATAGTCCCAGCTACTTCTAAGAAATGAAACTAATTCAACCCAAAATTATTAACTGGCCTGGTTCCTTGAAAACATTGTTTTTCCAGAAATATTACTACTTTATTTCACCCAGCCAGAAGCAAGCTTATAATGAAAATCTTATATAGTTCATTGCACAGAAGAGGTTCACTATCTTCACTCTAGATTAAATATTCAAGGATTCCTTCACTGTCATACCTCATCAGGCTATATTCAAAATACCCTTAAAACCTCAGAATTCAGAAAAATGTCTTCTACAGCTATTTTACAAGGCACAAAGAAGAAACTAATATAGGGGAGTGTCATATTTCAGCAGGCATATGGCCAACAAAAAAACATATTAAAAGCACAAGTCATCAGCACGCAGCGCAGCAGCATGTGACTGTATTTGTTTTGTTCGGCACTGTAAATTATCCTGCCACTCCTGAATGCTGCCTGCCAGTTCTCCTGGGTAGGTATCTTCATATTTGTTTACCATAGTTGACTGAATTGCAAATTATGACTATGCTACTGTATTAGTAATAAATTATTGTCACCTGAGGGAACAGTCTTTGCTCCTCTTTATCATAGCAGACGGTGCATACCAGGGAAATTCTGCACATACCATTGAAGAACAGGCACTGAGGCGGCTGAATTAAATTCTTAGGCTTATCGTAGTCAGTAGTCTTCACGGAAGGCAAATACTTCAGGTATCTAGTGCAGATCACAGAATCACAGAATGGTAGGGTTTGGGAGGGACCTCTGGAGATCACCTAGTCCAACTCCTTTGTTAAAGCAGGTTCACCAGCAGGTTGCACAGGAGTGCATCCAGGCAGGTTTTGAATATCTCCAGAGAAGGAGAATCCACAACACCACTGGGCAGCCTGTCCCAGTGCTCTGTCACACTTAATGTAAAGAAGTTTCTCCTCATGTTGAGGCGGAACTTCCTGTGCTCCAGTTTGTGCCCGCTGCCCCTTATCCTGTCACTGGGTATCACTGAAAAGAGCCTGGCCCCATCCTCTGGACACATATCCTTTAGATAGTTATAAACATTGATAAGATCTCCTCTCAGTCTTCTCTTCTCCAGGCTGAGCAGACCCAGGTTTCTCAGCCTTTCCTCATAGGAGAGATGCTCCAGTCCTCTCATCATCTTCATAGCCCTCCGCTGGACTCTCTCCAGTAGTTCCCTGTCCCTCTTGAACTGGGAGGCCCAGAACTGGACACAGTACTCCAGGTGTGGCCTCACCAAGACAGAGTAGAGGGGGAGAATAACCTCCCTCAATCCTGCTGGTCACACTCTTCTTAATGCACCCCGGGATGCCATTGGCCTTCTTGGCCACAAGGACATGTCGCTGGTTCATGGCTAACTTGCTGTCCAACAGGACTCTCATGTCCTTCTCCGCAGAGCTGCTCTCCATTAAGTCAACCCCCAGCCTGTACTGGTGTGTGGGGTTATTGCTCCCCAACCAAACATCTGCCACCTTGTTGAACCTCATTAGGCTCCTCTCCACCCAGCTCTCCAGCCTGTCCAGGTCTCACTGAA